GTCTTAGTGTTTTTGTGACTTTTTAGGCGCACAAACATGCTCTGCTGGAAAAGCACAAGGCTGGTCTTACAACTCCTATTTTTTACTATGTGATTCAACCAACCTTGATTTGGTGAGACCAAGGCTATGATGCTGCTGATACATCCTCTCATACATAGTGACACAGTGTCCTACATGGGTTTTTGACCTACTTTCTCTCATCTTTAATCTCCCTCCCTCTCTCACTGCACACATACAGACGCGCACGCCTCTGTGCCCAAGCATATTAAAAGAACACTCAGCTACTTAGGATGACAAATGAGTGCCTGCCTCCATTAAGAGTTGTGCCAAGACTCTCTCTTCCTCTTTTTTCTCTACCTTCAGCTCCCTGAAGCCAGCGGCCTGGGAAGCACTCTGTTCTCATCGTCTTCCAAACATTATGTTTTCTTTGTTGGGTTGCTAGTTTGTCAACATCAACAAACCACTTAAGGGAGGACATCAGTCAAAGTGTGGAAGAAAAGGTTTTCCAGAAATGTGCTTTGGATCTGAACAGCTTATCTGTAGGGAAATTTCTTGGCTTTTTAGCTCTCACAAGGCCATAATGTGACTAAATCGCAAAGTACAGCTGAAGCCTGTGATTACTGGTGCAGAAAGATAAAAGAGAGATGAAATCAAAAGTTTGTATTGCAAACTGCATACTGGCTGTGCTCCAATGAATTCAACTTGTAAAAACCCAACCCAAAATATTTCGTTAAATACGTCTTTTGACTATAAGATATTGCAGTGTTGTAGTTACAAATTTGGTCTGTAACAGATAAACTGTGTTTGATGGGAAACCAATAAGCTCAAAGATTTTACAGAAAATGTGATAAAGAGTCGATTTCTCTTGACCTCAAATCAAAAACACATAATAAATAAAACTTAAAAATGAACAGCAAAAAAACAAGAGGAAAGGCTCATATCCTCAGCAAAAGGCAACAGTGTTTGCCTCTTATTTCCCAAAGCCACAGTGACTCAAAAATCACCCATATTGCCATCATTTTCTCAGTGTGTGCGTGCATCCTATGAGCCATGCACATCCCTTCCTTCAACGTTCCAACGTTCCAAGACTTCTGTGCAGTGACTAAGTCCTCCCACTCTGTCTTGCCCTGCATCCTTGCCTTCATTTACTATCAATCAGCAGCTTTGACCTACTTCTTTTTGACATAAACACTATCGGCCATCCACAAGTAGGCGTCAAACGTGTGGGCATCAAGTGTCTTGTACTCTGAAGAAATCGGCCTGATTTCATAGCAAATACCAACACAGTTAGCTGAATGTTGCTGGCATTTAATTGTGTGTCTGCTACCTGCAGTACACAGTTGAACGGTCACAGCATTCAGCACAATAATGGAACAGTGGATCAACGCTAAGTGAGCCTGCCATGACAATCATTCTACTGCACAGACAATGTCCCTCATGCTATCTGACACCCGGTCCAATAGATACAGATGGTAAAAGTCTCCCAGCTGGGTGCAGCTAGTGTATTGATTGCAATTCCGAAGCTGTCATAAGGCGGATGAAGTGAGATTGAGCAAGGAAAGATGCACAGGGAGAAAGGAAAGAAGAGGAGTGGATTAAAAAGACAGGAACATATTTGGTAAGTTGGGAGAAGGAGATGTATGAAATCAGAAACAACATTGTATTAAATGGCACAGCGAGATGGACATGATAGACCATAAGTGTCTTTACATGGCTGCAGGAAGCATTCAAAAATGTTAATTATTATCTTTCCACCTCTGTCATCTTTCCAACTTCTCTGCACCTATTAGATCCATGCAAACATGCACTATGCCAAGAGCATGGACATTTGCATGCTTTTACCTGCCTTCAACTTCAGCAGGAACAAATATACAATCACAGAGACCTTTCTTTCTCCCTACTATATTGATTACCACCCCTACGCAGCAACAAACTTGCAGGCTTGTGCAGCAAACGAACGCAGAGACGAGGCGTAAATGCAAGGAATGATTCCACCTCTGTTATTCCTTAATCTCCGTTAACCTTTTATATTTACACTTCCTCCACACATACATTTACCCGCACATACAAACGCAAAGCATTTTCAGGAAACCCCAGCACACTCAGCAGAAAACTAACATGGAAGAGGTCAGGATTCACCTTATTAGAAGAACTGGAGCCCTTGAGGGTTGAAACAGAAGAAAACTACAAAATGAATATGTAATGGACACAGGCACACACACATATAGAGCACTAAGTGACCTACTATATATTTTTTTTTGTTTAAAGAAATGCAGTCTATATTGAAATCTGCAAACATATGTGCTCTACATGATTGATGTGCTGCAAAATGTGTGCTCTTTATAACTATACACTGAGATCTGACTCTGAAATGACCAATTGTTGACAAAGCACATGTCATTTGCAGCTTACGCCTACAGCTTTGTTTAACAAGACAAATGAGCATTATGTTAAAGCTGTATCAAATTTCACATGGCTCACTGGAAATCAGAGTGACTTCAGGCTATATTTAATGTAACAGTTCTATTAATTGTCCCAAGCCAATAATTAGGTATTTACTGTGAGACATACAACGCTGTACAGTTCTGAGCCTGGATCTGCTGTTACGAAACTCTAAGACTGATTTCCTCCCACTATGTTTATGACACTGAGTTCTTGAGTGGGTAGTAGATTACTCCAGTGGTAAGGCTCTCCATCTTGTGTTTTAAATTCTTAATAGACATTCCTACCACTGTCAATCACCATTAATGGGTTACAATGGACTGCAGTCACATTAGATCAGCTATTTTACTACACATTATTATAAACCATACGATCCAGTCAGGATGATATATTATGTTCTTCAGTAACACCGTTGGTCTTGTTTATATTCAAAAACAACACATTGGATTACCAACAACACATCTAGTACATATGTGCTCGCACTCTCCTTGTTGTTGTGTGAATGTGTTGTGATTATGCAATAGCTGCTGAGTTATATAAGAATATAAGAGCGTGCAGTATGTAACTGCATTTAATCAAACCTTTTACTGATGGAAAAAAATTGTTGCAATAAAGTAAATCTTCCACCAGAGGCAAGGATAATGACAAGTATTAATGAGTATTAAAATGAGACTGTATCACAGTCAGATCCTAATGCTCACTTGTGCACACATTAACAGACAGAGCAAATAAGTGAGAAAACCATGACATCACAATGTTGTGCAAACAGTACTCCTCTTCAGTGATGGATTTACCTGAATAAACGATGTTTTCCAACTTACCTGTTGTAACTATGCCGATTTGTGCCTCTGAGACTTACAGTAAGCTGTGAGGCAGGAAGCAGTCGCACTGACTTGCTTTAAAATTCACTTTCAGAACTGCAGATTTAATGGTATGAAAAATCCTGCGCTCTTTGTCATCTTTTTCACAAGGTGTTATAGCACTTATGCTTAATTTAGGGGCGATCGTGGCTCAAGAGTTGGCAGTTCGTCTTGTAATTGGAGGGTTGCCGGTTTAAGCCCCGGCTCCGACAGTCTCGGTCATTGTGTCCTTGGGCATGACACTTCACCGTTGCCTACTGGTGGTGGTCAGCGGGCAGTGTCCGGCAGCTTCACCTCTGTCAGTGCCCCAGGGCAGCTGTGGCTACAATGTAGCTTACCATCACCAGTGTGTGAATGGGTGGATGACTGAATGTAGTGTATATGGGACTAAGTAAAGCGCTATACAAATACAGGCCATTTACTTCTTAATGGAGATATGGTTTTAGAAATACCAGAGGGCATTTCGTTGGCGGTTTTAAAAGGTGCATGACAACTAATTAAAACATTGTCATCATATGCCCTCTTGCAAATTCAGCAGCCAAGGAGGCAGCTGAATTTGTAATTCTCTGAACAAACTCCCAAGGTATACTTTTAACCAAGTTGGTCAAAGAGTTTTTGACATCTGGCTGCTAAAGAGCCAAACACAACATGACAGAATGGCTGGTGGAGAGTGTGTGCGCGTGTGTGTGTGCATAAATAAAGCAGATGGGGAAAGACCAGAGAGGAGGGATCATCTGGGAGTTTTCCGTCATTTCTCCTTCACAGGAATGAATCTGTTTAACATAAACTTTACAAAATCCTTAAATAAACATTAACTCATGTCATGTGACATGATGTTAATTTTTTGGGTGAAGAAAATCTTTATGGTGCGTTTTATAACACAATCAAGAAATACTGTTTGTAGGGCCTTTGTAGAGCTTTAAAAGAGAATGGATCAAATGCTAATGAAGCCCTTAGGAAAGTAAGCACACTGTGTGGCTTGCATAGATAAGGATAATCTGAAATCGCTTTGTCTGTACTTGTGTCTATATAGTTTTTGATCCACGGATAAACTTATATATAAATCTCATTTAGCGTCGCTGGATCTCCTATATTTGGATGTTTAATACTTCATAAAATATAACTTTGTCTAGATTATTTTCTGACATTATCCACCATTTGAAAAACACCAAGTCATGAACGTCTGAATACTGTAAATCTAAGACAAAATTTGTGAACATATAAATTCCTACAGCAATCAGCCAATAGATATAAAGTATGAGGCATCGTGAAGATGCATTACTCTGGTTGTGTACAGTAATCTAATAAGTTTTAACCAGTAACTCTTGAGTTTTTGTGCGTATTGAGACAAATCTGACTGAAGGCTGAGACAGAAGTTCGTAAACAAACAGCCAAGAACAGATAGTCCCCCAGGGAGTAGAGAACACAGCAGAGGGCTATTAGATGCCTTGCCATAACAGATTTGTCATGTTGAGATAAGCACATCTGTTCTTTATAGATATATGCAGTTCACAAGGTTGTATTTATCTACTTGTCTTGTTTGCATGTGTTTATATGTGCTTAAGACCGAGAGGAGATCACCTGAAGCCACTTTTTATTATGAATTAATAATAATGTTAACAGGATACAAATGTTTCTATAGGTATTTAAGTCCAGTCTCCCTTCCAGCCTCTAAACTGCATCAAGCATTGAAACGTGTGTGAGAGAAAACAGTATGACGCAAAGAGGGCCCGTTGTTAGAAGGATTTAAATTACTGACAGATAATAAAAAAGAAATAAAAATAAATGCATAAATAACAGTTATATGATAAAAGAAAAGGGGTTCTATTTTTTCCATTGTGGTGCATGATGCAAACTGCAGTGATGTGTGCAGTGAGTAGGATGAAATACTTAAGGATGACCAGCATACTTAAAATGATTGTTAATCTCACTGGAGAGAGTTTACATTTTAGTTTATGTCTGCAGAGGAAACAAAAACATCACTCATGTCACTATTTGCTGTATTGCACTTTGCACCATGCGCACATATGTAAACAGAGTCAGTATTATCTCTGTGACAGATAAACGCTGCTGGCCTTATTTTAACGAAGGTTAAAGTTATCTTGGAAAGCTACCAATTATTTTAACCTTGGTTACAGTAATTCCATACATGTAGCCTATGTGTGCTTTAAGACTTACCACTTTAGGCTTAAAGGGGGGCTGTATCTCTCTGTTCTCGAGACGTTCCCAATCGATGCGTCTGAAGAAGGCGTGTTCTCTGATGTCCCTCTCTCCCTCAGCGCCACAGCCCAGACGTTTGGATGGGTGTTTAGTCATCAACTGCTCATCACCACACACACACACA